GGTGTGTAGTGATCGTCTCCCAGGGCCTACTGTATGTGACCCATGTCTCGCTGCCATACAGCAGGGTTGGTAGGACAATTGATCAACATGCGTGCAGCTTCATAGATAATTTCAGCTTCCTACAGGAAGACATGGGTGAGCTGTCTGCCAAATGCTTGAGGCGCACATCTGATTCGATGTTGAATCTTTTCATTGATGTCCACGGTGGTGGATATATGACAGCCAAGATACTGAAAGTGGTTAACATTACAGAGGGAAGTACCGTTAACCTGGATGGATGGGGGAAGTGTGGCTAAACTAGGGGCAGGCAGGCCGAAGTGTGCATCATATGCCGTTTGCTATCGAAATGGCTAATGAGTGCAATGAGATGAAATGCCTTTTGCAATGTAGTAAATCATGTGATAGAAATGGTAGTGTACATAACGTTGCACGTGATAAATGGAGCTCAATGCAAGAAAAGGCTAATAAATAGCAAGAATTCGATACATTTGGGCAGGTGTATAGTTCTGTTAATTGGGAGAAGGGCTCAAAGAAGCTTTCATGCACAGCTCATGCTATGCAACACTGTTCAATAGACGCATGTTAGTTCAGGCTGAGCGACGTAGAGACAAAGAGATTCGAAACAAAAGTAGAAGACATTGCCGTGGAAAATAGCCCCCAAGATGAATCCAGGGCCCCAAAAAGACTCCGCTCCAGCATTTGTGCCACACACGGTAAAATATGTTGTATTTGGTGTACGAAAGGTTCAGATCCGAAGAATCCCAGTCGTGACAAACAGGTGCCCCTCTTATCAATTGAAGATGCCTGGAATAGGTTCTAATCACATAATGTTTTTGTTGAAGATTACAAATTGAGAGAAATGCTGTGTATCATCGCTGGTGCTGGCGCAAATATGTTCTGAAATCAAATGAGATCTATTTGACCATACCAATCAGACAGTTCGTTCTCTGCAGTCAGGAATTCCGGCTTCTGAAATGCTCGCTGCTAACTTGAAATCTGCAAAGGTAGATGGCATGGAAAAAATGGGTGAATTTCTAAGAGATAGAGTTTATTTCAAGGTGAAGTCACTGTACGACCGAATATTATGAAGGGAAAGACAGAGGAAATGGAAACAAAAGCCATGGCTTCTGTTCTTGGCCAAATTGAAGTGAGCTGTTCCTTGAAACTTGAACAGGTGTTGCATAATCGAGTTACAGAAGAGAATCTGTCGATCTCCAACACCAATGGCACGATGCGGAAGATGAAAAAAATCAAGTTGCGAGAGAAACTCATTATTACTCCCATACAAGAACCCGATACATACACTGAAGATCTAGAGAAGGGCGATGGTACCAAATACACCTGGGGAGATTATAGGAAGAAGGTGGTGCTCACAGTGATAACAAGGCATAAAAATGCAGAGCGGATCATTTGTGTGAATGATCCATACGGTCAGAGATGGACAATCGAAGACAGTAAACGCATGCTGCCTCAGAAGAGTGCATCAAGCAGTAACATTTACATGAAGTCAGAAGATAAGATTCCTGCAATCATAGACTTCCAACTTCTTCTGGGTAAAGCAGAAAATAAGATCCGTTTGCAGGCTGGATTTATGAGCACTGCAGACACATCTGATGTCGAAATCTTCTACTGTATAGGCCCCAGTGCAAAAAGCCTCAGTACAGGCCAACCTGCACCACAGTTCACCTGTTCCCATGCAGAGGCTGACACCGCAATGTTTTTCATCTCCAGTGTCCTCCGGTGAGGGCTATACAGAAGCTGTCATTCTTGATACAGAAGACACCGATATCTACGTGCAGGCAGCTTATGATGCACAGCAAATATCAGGAGTATTATGTCTGAAGTGGAAGACACAATTCATCACCTCTAGAAATCTAGGCGATGAGGAAATGATGGCTTGTATCATTCCACTTTATGTCCTCACCGGCTGCGATCATAATCTGGCTTCTATGGCAGATCGCGTCCAAAGTTCTAAAGAGGTACGTGACCTTTTGGCATCGTGGAGGGCACAGAAGAAGAAGAACACCGTCCGACTGGCACCTGACTCAAATGCTCAACCTCCACTTAAAGCGGACAAACTATCTCAGTTTTCTGCTGAAGTGCCCAAACCTCCAATTCCATCCCTCACCCATCAGACATGGATGGCATTTGCTAGATGGCCTGTGCCTATCTGTCCTGTTACGAGTTGGGGATTTAGAATATAGTTATACGTCTACCCAGATCCCAACAGGTAACAAAAAAAACAAAACAAAGACAATCGGACTATAAAAGGGTAGACAAAGGATGCGAGTTTTCGTTGTGTATAATAGAGTACCATAAATCCCTTAACAAAAATATTCAGCTTATAAATTACCCTTAACCAAACTTAACCTAAACATTAACAGTATATACATATTAATACAACATAAACAATTTTGAAGCAAGTGGACGTGGGGGAGGCAATACAAGATAAAAGTACTTAAGTGAGGAGCTGAGATGGCTGACGAGTAAGGCTGAGTATTGTAGAAGACGGTAGGTAGTCACTGCGACGTAGGTTTAGAGGATAGATGATCCTGTGGTCACTTCCCAGAGCCAAGTGCTCTCTCCTCGAATTGGAGCTGACAAAGAAGACTTTGAGGAGGTGACGCAACAACCAGGATATGGAGAAGAGAAACCCCGGAGTGGTAACTAAGACGAGTCATACTCGTGTCTCGTCCCTAGATGGCGTTGCTCGTGGTGCTGGGTAGGTAGATCAGGACAATAGATGGCGTGGTTCGTAGTGCTGGGTGGAGGGGTTCGTAACAGTCCACTACATCCAGCCCCCAACTCCCACATCAATACCCTTATCCCTGAATCCGGATGATGAAGACATGGGCACAGGCAGTGAAAATAACAATAGAGATGCTGCTGATAGTGACAGTGATTCTAATGACAGCAGTGGCTCATGCAGTGACAGCGATAACGATGCTTAAAATGTATGAGATTATTGTAGTAAAGCATAAAAAAGGAAACTTTGTTTAATTTTATTCAGGATACACCTCAGATACTAAGATCACAAATTACTCTCACAGGGTGGTGTTGCTTTAATGAAATCAGTGACCATTATATTTCCACCCTTTTATATAAAATTTCAGAATGAAACTTTTTTCTATAAAGGATCGAGGTGGCCTTAGAAGTAAAATAACTATGTTATCCATTTTGCCACGCTAGAACTAGTGGCAGAAGAAGCCTCATTCGTGCATATAGCTCGGTTGGTTCTTTAGTTGTATTGTTTTCCCATTTTTAACCTTGGCTACAGTCGCCACCTTAGATTTGGAGATCAAGATGGCGCCCAAACTAAAAATTTGCCATCCCATCAGATTTCTCAACTCAAAATTAGTGGAAAATGACACCTTATTCATGATTCTAGTGTATCTAGTTTTAAAGTTATCACCGGCCATATCGCAAAAATGACCACCGGCCGCCATTTCGGAATTTGCTCTCCCGCGGAATTAGCTAACATTTTCCAGAGGTACATAAGAGCCAAATTTTTTTTAATAGTCACTGGTACACAAGTGAACAAAAAAAAGATAGGAACAAAATGGTTACGGATTTGATGAAAATGACTATACTAGTGAAAAACGAGAGTAAAGTCGTCTGCATACTGAAGTCCCTTCATCCGGTATTGGATATCCACCCCGTCAGCTACATTGGCACTGGAAAGGAAAACAGCAGAAAAAATGAAAAGGCGAGTTGGTGCGAGCACACATCCTTGTTTTAACCTGGTTCGGAAAGGGAAGAAGTCCGACTGGGTGCCATTATGCAGGACACTCCCGTTCATGCCATCATGGAATTCCTTTACAATGGCGATGAATTTTGGTTGGCAACCAAAGCGACTGTGGTTCCGCCAGAGGGCTGCCTTGTTAACCGAGTCAAATGCCATAGTCTAGTTGATGAAGCCCATATGCAAGTTACGACGCTGTTCTCTGCACTTTTCCTATATCTGGCGGGTAGCAAAGATCATGTCAGTGGTGCCACGTGATGGTCTAAAGCCACATTGAGATTCTGGGAGGAAGTTTTCCGCTTCAGGAAGAAGTCTATTGAGGAGGACTCGGGCGGTTATCTTGCCAGGTACGGACAGCAGCGAGATCCCGCTCTAGTTACCACAGTCTGACCGGTCTCCCTGTTCTAATAAATATTAACGATGGAGGCGTCTTTATGATTTTGGGGGATTTTCTCCTTTTCCCATATATTCTCCAGGAGAGAGTGGAGACTGCTGGTAAGCAGAGATCCTCCTGCTTTATATACCTCGGCTGAGATTCCATCAGGCCCTGTGGCTTTGTTATTTTTCAATTGCTTGATGGCAGTACTACCCCATCACTGGATGGAGGATAGCTGAAGTGGGTCAGCTCTGGGTGCTGAGGGACCTGCTGGGTAGTCAGGATATCCACATCAGTGTTTCGGTTGAGCAGGAAATGGTGTTGCTCTTTCTAGTGCTGAAGAATGCATTATTCATGTTTAATAATGGGGTTACCGTCGGATGAGCGGAGGAGGGGCCGCGCCTTGAGTAGTTGGGCTTCATATTGCTTTAGTGGAAAAGAAAAAACCACGCAAACTGTTGTTTCACACACACACACACACACACACACACACACACATGACAAGCTCGTCGAAGCACAGTAACACTCGGCTGTATATCATTAAACACAAAATAAAAACACATTGACATTATAATTGTTTTTTCCGGATAATTCTATTAATTACGAAGTTATTATAGTGTACCTGGATTAATTACATTGTGTTTCTTCTCTAATTGGAAGCTAATGTAGTTTTTAATAGCCAATTAATGTTTGTTTTTTAGCCAGAATATTCATCCGCTTGTAACATCAAATACAGTGATAATAACCACCACCACCACCGCTGCTGCCACCGTCGCACAACCACCACCACCATCGCCACCACCATCACTGCCGCCACCGCTGCCACCACCACCACTACCGCTGCCGCCACCGTCGCACAACCACCACCACCATCGCCACCAA